GGTGAGAACGACAAACGAATCTCTTCATCATGTACTTTCATTCGAAATGAAGGTCCCCCTAACAATATTTTCTGTCCCTAGCCCTTAAATCTACTCTAACGCGACCGCTTATGCGCCTAAAAGTAGCATCGAAATACGAGACGCTCTCTTCCATTCATTGCATCAGCTCAACAACCGAACTCTTCATTCATCTCCAGACCAAGCCAACTCCTTCTTCGCGCCTCTTATATATACGCCGGCCAAAGCAGACTTATTGTTGGTTGCAGAGGGGAAAATGGTTCAACCTTCTTGTCACAAATTGAGAAAAGGCAGACGAAATCGTCTCATCTCGTGCATGTAACAAGCTGCACCAGTGTCCGAAGCGGCCAACAATGGACCAGTTGACCAAATGCATCATCTCTAGTCCAGCTGCCCCAGCAACCAATGTCTTTTCGGAGTGTTCAATGCTGTCAGATACTCTGCACCAGTTTTAAGCTCTTCCTCCACATGGTTTCCTGCCAGGCTGCCGAATTCTCGGACACACCACATTCACACAAGGAAGGTGGCAGATGCGCAAACTGTCCTCACCAGAGCTGCTTGGAATGGCGAGAGTCAGGGTGGAGACTATCGAGGTTGCTGCAAGCAAGCAGTGAATCTCATACCAGTGATACCGGTTAAAAAGGGCCTTGACAGAAGATGCACCTGAAATGAAATGGAGAAGATTCCTTCTTGCCAAGTAAGTTTGCTGTACCATCTATCACTAAACTGAGTCCCTATGATGAGGGATCAGATATGCGGTCTTGCCCATCAGAAATGTGCCTGCTTGGCGTCCAAGTCAGTCGCACTGCTTATTGGCACAGAGGCGTCTTGTTTCTGACCTCAAGCCCTCAAACCTAAAGGTCCCATGTCAATTGCCGTTGGCGCCAATGAGGTAGACATCTCGAACAATTTGAGAGATAATCTCGACCACAGCAAAGAAGGCCTGGCCAGGTGCACGAATCGAAACCAGGGTAGGTCTTGAATTGTGGTCCTGTTCTCGTCTCGACCCTTTTTGCTCACACCAACTAGTCCCATTAACATCGCATTTATTTCTAAACACTTTCTTATCTAAATTCATGACCAATTGGTTTAGAGACTGGCACTAGAGCCTAAATAAGGAGTATGGTCAGCCTAAGTTGCATAAGGTGATGAAGGACTATTAATTGGATTTTTCCAAAAGTATATGAGCGGGCTCTACGATGCTACTGTAGTCCACTTAGCCTAGTCCCACAAAAGGTAAATGGTTGTCCAGTCTAATACACGTCTACTTGCTGCCCTTGATAATAAATAAAACAGACAAACTGAACAGTATTGGGGTACCTTTTGTTTCCTTTAAAGAGTCGAGTGGAAGCGATTCGTGGGTTGGCCTCACAGGAAACTTTAGGTAGATTGCATTGGAGCTGTGACTAGATTTGTGCGAATAGGTTTGCGGCTGAGCTTTCGTCCGTCATGCGATGGACATCGTCAGAGCAAGACACCAGGCTTAGCAATAATTCATAAAAACACGAAAACATCCCCTTATTTTCCGGTGAGGCCAACTTCCATTCGCCTCTTTAAATTAAAATAAAGTTAATCCAGCATTATTCAATGAAGAGATTCTTCGAAGCCTAGATTTTCTACATAAAAACTCGACAAATCCAGAATAGGAAGCAAGTAAATGGGCAAAACCGTCTTACTTCAATGCGCCAGATGAAGAGGCCAGGTGATGCCGCGCTCAAAACCTTTTGCCAGGCCTTCTCAGTTTCTGCGGCAGACTCTGTTAGGAAAAAGTGGAGACAGTGAATAAAAGAGTCCATGACCCAAAGTTCACAAGAGCAAAAGATCAAATATATCTCGCCAAATAGCAAAAATAGGTGATTTAGAAGCCAGAGTACTTTAGAACAGGGGAGACAATATTATTAGCTCTGAACTATAATTGTCGTGGAGGGTAGACAATATTATCCTAACAGTAAAATTCAATCAGTTTATGAATTGATAATAGGATAATTGCCAACTTTTGTTTTGACATGGAGCGACTGACAAGCGGGGTGGAGGGGGTATAAATGAAAGTCAAAAGCCGTGCAAACAGCATCTAAAACCGATGCTGGAGACAATTACGCCTCATTAAATCCATTTGAAGCGACACTTTT